TTTCCTATAATGTCCTCAGGCCACCTTTTCTAGTCTCCTGTTTCCTCTCAGCAATCAAGTATTCTGCTCTAGAGAAGCTTTACTAGTGCTTCCTTCCTGGCTAAACTCACAGCATTTTAAATCATTCTGTTGGCTTCTTTTCTCCTGAGCAACACAGATCTGGCTAAAAGCCCCCAATAGCAGCTTCAATATTAGACTGCCTTAAAACTTCTTCTGCTGAGATTATTTAGTCCACCACCATTAATCTCAATCTCAGGCAGTCTCTGGATTCAAGCAAAATGCAGACAAAGTTTCTACCAAGGTATAACTCACATTGTCTGGAGTTCAACAGACAACTGGATTCTTCTTTCCAGCAGAAAACTCCAGAGCCTGGTCTTTCTGGGTAGCATTTCTATCAGCTTTCTTGTCTTCTGAGCTCTGACCAGAATCTCCCATCAAGTACAACCTAAGGAATTCCAACTTTACCTTTTCAGACAGCATCTTCAAACCTTTCCAAACTCTTCCCACAAGCCAGTACCAAAGGCTCCTGAACCACATGTTCAGGTACAATTCACAGAAGGACCTGCTTCTCTGAGCCTAAATTCTGTTAGTTACTTTTCTCATGGCTGAGACAAAATACCTGACACCCAAAGTTAAAGGGGGAAAGGTATGCTTAGCTATTTGTAGAGGTTTCATTCCATAATCATCTGGCTTGAAGGGAGGGTGGTGTAGCAGACTGGCCTTACCCAGGAGAAACAGTTCCTGGTGCCCAGAAGGTAGCAAAAGCAACAAGGGACCTTAACAGCATCTTTCTGCTCCTTTTATCTTATTCTGACCATGTAGGGCAGGTAGCACTCACATCCTTAATCCTAGTGCCCATGAGCCTAGTACTGCCCCATGAATTAAACACACACTCTAGATCTAGCCACCTCTGCAAAGGCCTCATTTGTGACCACATAATGCTTTGGCGGGACATCTAAACACAAGCCAAAACAATACTGGTTCATTATTGGTTTAGAGAGTGGCAGTGTTGTCTGCTACATTGTAATATGCTCATTTCAATTCAGAGATCATATTTTTAGATTTTTTTAAGTGTTGCTATCCTTGTGTGTCTTCTGACTATGCATATGAAGTAAGAATTAATTATACAGGTATTCATTTGTTCTCTTGCGGATCTGATGGCGATGCGATTGGATTGGCATGCCTTACAAGAACCAGAGCCCAGACCAACCAAACCTTCTTCACCAGTGGCACCTCTGCCAAAAGAGACGATGGTGCTTGATGAAGGGAGAATAAGTTGGGGCAACGTTCAGAAATGGTTTTGCCACTAAACTTGTGTAAACAGCTCAAGTAGTTAGATGTATATTCTTTCTTAGTAACCAAGTAACTCAAATAATTATTACCTTTCATTATTACAAATGAGATAACAATGAGTTAAAACTATTTTGATGATTATATGGAGAAAATGGTGTTTTATTTCTAAAGTATGTTTGGTGTTAGAAGGGCTGATATTTTCAGGTCATACTTTTGGTACTCTTAATTAGGCTAAGACCCCAAATCAAAAATCTTCCAATAAAAGGCTATTTGGTGCAATTCTTTCATGATGCTGCTGCTGCATGTAGACATAGCTCCATTCACCAGGCTTACTCATAATCAGGATAGCTGTATTTTAATGAAAAAACAAAAAGGCTGAGAAGTTATATTCATACCTCTTCAGATGATGTAATGTTTGTACTTTCCATTGCTAAATTTTGCTGTTGCTACAACTAGAGACAAAATTTTTCATTTTTTAAGCCCTTGAAAGTGTTGCCTTTAGCATAAGAACGAAAAAAAAATTTTTTGACTAGTAAAATTCAGGAGCTGCAAAATAAAGTGTGAATAACTGAAATCGTCTAGTGTTTTTGGATTATCAACCTGTAGAATGAAATGAAGTATGAACTACAAATAGCTAAACAAATACCCATTAGCAGACAGGAAAATCTTAATAAAACTTGGACAATTTGACTTAAAATTATTTTGAACAGAAAGTATTCCCCATTCTTGGTATCACAAAGCTCTTAGAATTTCACTTGGATATTTAGAGGATTTATACACCCTGAAGGAAGAAGAAAGTAATTTCTATACCTGGTTGTAAAAAAAAAAAAACAACTATCTTTTTTTTTTCCTTTGGGAAAGATGTGACTTGGCCATGAGTACGGCTGAGAAAGGGTGTAACTGCTTCAAAAATAAACAAATAAACAAAAAACAGTGAAAGAAGTAAGAGTGGAGGAGTGAAAGAACTAGAAAAATGAAGATTGGTGTATATATCAAATAAAGCTGAATGTAAGTGGTATGCACTAATAAGAATAAATGAAACAGAAACAAAATAAAAAGTCAATATGCACGCGGATATTCAGGGTTACCTGCATAATGCCGAGCCCTCCCATTCCAGGGGTCTTTGTAGATGTTACTATGTCGCCACCAGTTAAAATCTTTGATGGACAGGAGATTCCATGCTTAGCTGGATGTAGTTAATTTTTATTGAAAATGTGCAGGCTTTTTTTTTTTTTTAAGCAGTGGATAAACTTAAAAAGAAATTCTCAGGTTAAATGATGAAATCACATAGAAAACACCTCACTCATTCCCAAAGACTATAGATAAATAAAGTAATTTCTTATTCACTTGATTTTTTTCTTTTTCTAACGATACTTATTAAGATAAATGAAAATAATTTTCAACCAAATCATTACAATTATTGTGGGATGAACTTCATCCAATTTGTGCTGAAGAGTAGTGACGGTATTTAACATACAGACATGTTAGATAGATTACCTGGTTTGCTTGGTATGCTTTCATTTGTTTGTTTGTTATTTATTAATGTAGAATTTCTAGCTTTCTCAGTGAATCTTAAAACAATAAAATAACTAAAAATATATTCTGGACCCCAGGCATAAAAATATCAAAGATATGCGAGTTTTTGGAGAAGGAATATATTGGCTCTGCCTAGTATTTGCTCCCTTGGGAAGTCAAATGAAGAAGAGAACAATTATACAGGTGCATTCTGCTTGGTGTCCAAGTCCCCAGCCCGTGGCTGGAAAACTGTGTGAGTAATTCCCAGGAACTCAGGATGAAGGACTTTTGGCTGTGTATACACAGACTAACCATCTACCATGAGACTGCTCTACTCATATGGGAGGATTTTTTTCAAGCAGATTCCATTCTATCAAAACAAGTTCTCACACCCTGAAAAATTCATTATCACTTTCTCCAAATTGAAATCTAAGAAAGTAACCTTTTTTTTATTTTTAAGGAAAAAAAATCCTCTTTTCCTTTCAGCAATTGAGTGTATTTTCCTGAGAGTGGCTCCTTTTCCCAATAAAAATTTGGGTACCTATATCTTTCTAATTCAAATATTCCATGTCAGCATAAACGCTTTAGTCAGTGACAGTATAGCTTCACTGCAAAACATTTTTAGTTGTCTTTGGGGGGAATTCAAATGCTAAGAGATGAGTTAATCAGATGCTACTTCGCAAAGCACAGTTGTTGTCTAGTCAAGCTTCTCTTCTTTTTTTTCCATGTGTTTGGGTTTTCATACCAGTTCTTTCCTAACTTTCTTCCATTTCTCCTCCCCCACACACAGCCATTCTAACAAGCTTGAAATATGTTATTGAATACGTAATTACTCTCAAAAAATACATAAACTCATTTTTAGTATTAACATTTTAATTCACATAATTGGTGCTGTGCAATAGATTTCATTCTCTGCCATACTTCTTATTCATTCAACGCTATTATTTTTTAGGATGATTCCATGGTGTTTTAATTCACTCCTTCCAACAACTACATATTACTAGGTACTCATCACATTTTACTTGTCCATTTTCCTAAAAATAGATTTGTTTGACTCCAGTTCCCAGCTGTTACAAAGGAAGTAATAGATCCTGATGCTGTTAAATTTCTCCAAATATTGCAAGCTGACCTCACCAGTCCTAGATGCCCTCCAACCTTGTACCAAGGATCCCAAGTCTCAGTCTCACCCACACTTCATATTTTTGAAGGTTAGACTTTTTATCAACTTGATTAGTACAAAGGAATACTTTACTTTAATATGCATTTCTTTGACTACCAATATCATTTAACATATTACTATACACTTAGTGACCGTTTGGAGTTCTATTCCATGAATTGCTTTTCACATCTTTCTCAATAAATTTGTTTCACTCTATCACTCCATAACACATTCAGCGTTCTTTTTAAAATATATATTGTTAAAGTTAGGGTGTTTGCCTAGCTAGCATCCTTAGGCTTCAAAATTGCCCAAAACATTTGTAATTAGAACAGGTTAGGTGGTGGTGGTGGTGAGACTTGCAGATAGAAAGAGCCATTAAATGAATTTGAATTATAGTTTCACTGCTTAATTCCTAAGAGACTTAGTACAAGTTGCTTTCTCTTGTCAGTTTGTGTGGGTATGAATATAAAATAGGGACACAATAATCATGCCTTATAATGAAAGATTTATTACTATAAAATATTATATAAAATCACTTATGTACAGTACAAGGACGATTATAGGTGTTGCCTAAAAATTAATTTGTTCCTATTTCATCTGGCCTATAGGAGGAACACTATAAATAGTATTCATAATACTCATGCCAGCACTCTCACTGTCATTATTTAGGGAAAGCCTTACTTGAAGCTGAATATAGACATTGCCTTCTAAGATCTTTTCTAGTCCTACATAGTCCTGGAATTCACTCAAAAATTACCCTAGATCTTAATATTAATGAGTTGTCAGTGTTCTCATCTAGGATTTTTTCCTAAAATCTTATAAGAGAATTCTTTGGTTATTTTTATATGGATTCTGAAACCACCAAATTAAACATATTTAAATAAAAAAGAAAAAAACAGAAACTGTCTTTCTTCCTTTGCTCCTTCCTTTAGTGATGCATTAGTAAAAAAAAAAAGTCTATAACAAACTCTTAAAGAATATATATTATGATATAATTAAAATTGTTATTACATATCTAATTGAGCTTGTCCTTTATTTTTTTCTGCTTTAGCTTTCTCATTTATAAAATAAAGTGGATTCAATAATTTCTAAAGTGCTTAAGTGATTCCAAATTCCATGTTACCATGAGTCTGTAGGATGGAATGTCATGTTAACAATTGCAGTGTGGCTGGAAGATGCTTCAGCTGCTACCCAAGCCAAATGAGGCAAGGCCTCCACTTGGAAGGACTTTGTGTGACCATCACAGAAAGTTGTCCCTTCTTCCAGGTACAGAGCTTTCAGGAGCTGTGAGAGATGAATTTCAGTCTACTTGATGCCTTTGTGGAGAACAGGAACAAAAATATATATGGTCCAGAAGCCACTGCTCTTTCTGATCCAGTTATGGCCACTTAGACCCCCCTGCATCAGAAGAAACTAGTAATGTTCTGGCAGAGATCTCGGTGGGGATGTGTGCACTGTCAGGACTGGGCCTCACTACACATAACTTCCTCAAAACTCCATTTCTTTATTTTCATATTATTAAACACTCATTCTTCATTTTAATGTCATTTATCTTGGTAATTATTCAAGAATTATGCATTTGCATTTTAAAAATCTATTTTCCTTCATTATTCAGTCTTATTTTCAGGTTCTGGTATAATTACACATAAGATGTTTGGGAAATAACAAAATAATCAGATATACAAGGGGAAAGCCACTGACTATGAAGGTAGATTTGCCATTGCCCTTCTGGGTAAGTGATGCTGTTTCAGCCCCTTCTCTAGCCAAGTCAACAGCCAGCATTTCTTCCCTTTCTCCCGACTCTGGGCACTCTCCCCATACCTTCCACGGATGTGCTGCTACCACTGCCCCACCCTGTGACTCACACCCCCAGGTTGGACTGCACCATTGTCCACCCAGCGGCTGTTCAGGAGTCACTGGACTCATTGAAATCCCCACTGGTGTGAAAGGCTTAGAGTAGGAGGTGAGCCCTGCCTTGCAGATGACTCTGCTCATTAGGTTCTTGAACACCCTGAAAGTTAAAGCTTTTTCCCCCTGTCTCACCAGCTGACAGATCAACTGCTTTTCTGTTTAGATTTGATGCAGATATGAATGGTGATGGGCTGGTCGGGTCCTGGAGAGAAACAACCCCAGTCTGAAGTCCTTTTCAGAACACAGCCCCTACTTTCAGCCCATAACAGTGCCCAAGTGAAATGAAAGCATGAGACCGAGAAAATTATATGCACTAATTATATATACTGTATAATAAACCACTTCTCTGACAATAGAAATGTATTGAGGCTGAACTCAAAGAGATGGTCAACTTTAATCATTGTTAGCAGTATCATGGTAGTTAATATTTATTTATGTATTATTTACTATCTGCTAGACTTTGGTGGGAATTTCCCTGAATTATCTAATGCTAAACTGTTGCTTACTAGTATTTTTTGTTTTTTTATTTTGCTTTTTGAGACAGGGTCACACTATGTAGTTGAGACTGACCTGGAACTCACTATGTAGCCCAGGCTGGTCTTGAACTCACAGTGATCCTCCTGCCTCAGCCTCCGGAGTGCTGGGATTATAGGCGTGCACCACCATGCCCAGCTACTATTATTTTTTTAGGGGGAATCACATTTGTTTTATGGATAAATGTATAATGATTAGTTAATAAAGTATTTAATGACTTCCTAGAGGGTGTTTAAATTAGCTTGATGAATATTTATTTTCACTGAAAGGTATACAGAAGTTATTTTAAGTTGCAAAACATAAAAAAGCCATTGCAAGACTTTCTTTTCTGCAATTTTGAACTTACTATGAAAATTATCCCTTTCTTTTTTCTTTTTCTTCTTTTTTGGGAAGAGTAAGAAAACATGTTTATCTACCCTATTGTACCAAAAAGCATATTTACACACAAGGAATAGTTAAATAAATTGTTAATGTGATTAATTCCTAAGTATGAGATGTGAAAGAGTAGGAAAGATATGGACTCTCTTCTTTTTTTAATTTTACTTACTTACACTTTTATAATCATAAACACTAAACTGACTTAAAGAAAAGAGTAAACAATGTCAACAGCCTCTCAAGTTCAAGCCATGTTCTTTAGATTTCTCAAATGAATGTTTCATCTAAGCTTTGAAACAACATAATGACAGGCCCATAAAACAGTCACAATGGGCTAAAGCTAAGTAAACCTAACAACAGAAAAGAACTCTGTATCTATCTTGCCAGTGACTTAAATAGGTTGATCTAAATAGTATATGCTGGAAGTTAACTAATTCCTTGTAATAATTTAATGATGTTCAACCCCCAGTACCAAAAATAATAATAATAATTTAATGATGATGAAGATAATCATCAAAACATTCATCCAGTAATTTTCAGATTTATAGATTAAAACTTTTATTTACATTTGACACTGTGATCTTTTGAAGGCTATATCTATCTATCTATCTATATCTATATTTATATATATATATCTATCTATATATATATATATATATTTTTTTTTTTTTTGGTACCAGGAATTGAACTCGGGTCCTTGCACTTGCACTCACAAGGCAGGCCACCGAACCACTGAGCTAAATCCCCGGCCCTTAAGGCAATATTTAATGTATAATAATCACAGACATGTATGAAACACCTCCATTCCCATGTCCCAGGCACTGTACAGAATATTCCATCTCTGGTATTCTATTCAAAACTCAAAATAGTCCTATGAATTAATCATTCATTAGCTTCAGCAGCAAGTCGCACAAATAGACAAATAACAGCAATGGCTCCAACGAAACAAAAACGTACTTCTTCCTTCTCTAAAAGCCAGGACTTCTACAATTCCATGGTCATGAAGAACTGAGGCTCTGAGGACCTCAGCTCACAATTTATGTATCACGTTTTAAGTTGCCCGCTCCAGCTCTACCAATCATGTCTGAATTCTGACTGTTGGGAAGAAAAAGAGAGGAAAATTGTGTGTTACCTTTTCTCTTGATGGTCGCAGGCATCACTTCTGTATGTACCCCCGTGAGCAGAAATTAACCAGGGCGGCCAGAGAGGTAGACTTCATTTTGGGCTTTGTGTCTAGTCAAATTTAGGGGATTCTTTACTGACGAAGAAGGGAAGATATATACTGGAGGAAAATAACAATCACTTTGTTAATTTTTATTTTTATTACTACCTCAGTACCTGTTTGCAGTACGTAATGACTACATCCACATGGGGAGTAAAAGATAACTGCCTTGGTATGGCTGTCACCATTTTGGTTAACGACCAACACTTTATACTTCAAGTTTCCATTTCCTACATCACCCATCATTGGCAGATGTGTGAGCAAGGCTTGTCCATATAAGGAATGGGTCACAAGTAAGAGTGGTTGAGTGGCTGCCCGGGCGGCTGATGAAATTATCCGAGCTGCTTACACCAGCCACCCGCTATAGAACCAGCCCCTTCCACCCAGCTCTCTCTCCTTCTTTCTCCTTTGCGGAGTAGGCCACTATGCCCCAGTGGGTCTACAATAAATCTCTCATAGGAACTCTGTCCGTGTTCGGAGTGATCTTTGGCAGGAGGCGCCAGTTTCTTTCACGGAGTTGCTACAGTACACAACATACCTTTGTTCTTTTAATGTTTCCTTCTCCTCCCCACCGCCCCACTTCCTTCTATCTCTTGGCCCTCTTTCTAAACAGTTTCTTTCATAATGTTATGATTCGCATTCTACAAGTGAAAAGTTCATAAATGTGGTAATACCACTAGTGTCACTTTTATTAGTTAATGACACTAATAAAAGTGTCCAATGTTGCTAGTAATAGTTCAGTAGGTTTGACTGAAACTTATTCACCACAGTACACCAACTCTTGTACTTCTAGCTAATCAATTTCCTAAGATAGTTAACTATGGCATATAAGATCACATAAAAGCAGATATAAAGGGAAATGACACTAATTTAATGATAATTGAAATAGCAAAGTAATACATAATCATTTAAACGGTAACTGTTATGTGTCTAAAAGCTTTAGACAACTGCAAGGGAAGTAAAGGAAATCTGTAGATGGCTACCGAACACTTGATATGAGTAAAAAATGAGATATGCAGTAAGTACAGAATATACATATGATTTTGAAGACTGTACCAAAGTAGAAATATAAAAATAACTCATTAAACAATATTCATATTGACTATAGGCTGAAGCAATAGTTTAGACATGCTGAGTTAAATAACATACATCATTTAGTTCCCATTCTCTTTTAAAGAACTCCACACTCAGGAGGAAGGCAGAGAGCCAATTTCTGATGACTAATTTGGTTTCCTAGATCTTTCAATAGAGGAAGGCAAGTCTAGGGCAAGAGATAAATGCATTCTGATTGTTCAGAAGAATGTGCTTCATTTGAAGTAAATTCATTGATCTTGCATCAATTGTGATGCTTTTAGCTGCAAATAATAGGAAAAGATGGATTTAAGTGCTACAGGAACATATTGTCTCAAGAATAAGTCCAGAGATAAAGCAAATTTCTGCTCCATTTCTCTGAAAGTCTATCAGGCTCTATCTTCCTGGGCATATTAGCTTTATTTTCTAATTAAATTTAATAGCACAATGAATCAGGGGCTTCATTTCTTCTTCTTTTTTCGTGATTACCATACTTTTCATCACTAAAATTTCCCAAAATATAATCACATAAATCATTTCATGGGCTTTGCTGATACTTGTTTATTTATTCACTGAATAAATACATCTATCAAGCATCTGCAATGTGTGTATTCTATCTGATATGGAGCTGTTATCTTTGTCCTATTAGATAAAACTGAAAAGGCACATTAATCATATCTTCAAATTTATTAAATCAATAGAGCTCTCCGATGGGCTTAAAAGCTCTCCAAGTCCTAAATGCAACTTGAAAAGTTTAGATCTTTGAAATCCAGTCACCAGACTGGATGGGAGAGTCAGCCTAGTTAGCACAAATTATGCCTGACAAGAAACTCAGATCAACAGGTTTCCCTATATTTCAGTGATTTAGATCTCTCAATGACTAGTGCTTCAGGGAGTATAGGACATTTTTTATAAAATGTCTTTATCAAAGGAGAAGAACAGCATGTTAATTCTCTGTGGAATTGTCCCCCTTCTCCACCCCGCCAGAGGAAGCAGTCAGGGGACTTTCTAGGTCACAACTCCATGACGAAGACTGTCTGCCTTTACTGCCACAGCACCATTTTGCAATACACATCACATGTCCATGGGGGGTCAGAATCCAGGGAGACATGGAAGACGCTCCCCTTGGACTGGTGAAGATTTTGTCTACCTCACGGAGTGCACTTTAGATCTCTTGAACATTGAACCAGAAGGGCCTTGGTTCGAGTTCCTGGCTTAGCGATTTTGGATATGTTACCTGATATGCAATGATCAGGTTCTTTGTAAAATGGATTTTGGTTTTTTAAAATGTATATTAGAAAGCCAAGGAAAGTAAAAGTCAGAGAATGACTGGCTCCTTGACCTCAGCTTTTTACTGCAACTGTTGGGAATTACAATTATCTTTAGCCCCAAATGCTTCTTCTTGAGATTGAAGTGATGAAGGAATTCACTATCTAGTGCACAAACCTTCCATAACTTCATTGGGGAATTCAATTGGGAAGAAGGAACGCAGGCCTTTGAAAACATTAGCAGAATAGAAGAATGAAGCCAAACTCCACTTACATTTTCCAATTTTTCAGCATCAGGCCCAGGATGGTAGGTTCCCATCCATTTTGTGTTTCAAAATTGAACTAGACAGGGAAGTGCTGCTAGAAGACGGTGCTGCTAAATACTGTTGGAAGAATAAATGAATGAATGAGCTCAAGTTTTCTCACTTTATTTTAGGTCAGTCTCAGAAAAAATAACCAGCCAGTGTGATGTTCATATACAGCAGTATCTACAGAGAATTGCTTTGTGGACCCCCAGGACACCAAAATCCATGGATGAGCGAATCCCTTATATAAAACATAAAAAATATCTTGGAAAGTGATTGTTTTAATCCATAGGTTCTAAGACTATGGAATCTACGAATATGGAGGACCAACTGTATGGGATTGTATTCTAAAGTTCTTATTAAGTTTCTTTAGCATTACTCCATAGCAGAGAATTTTATCCCAAAACAGTGAAAATATAAAAGGTCTTTATTACTTCTCAATCTTTCTCCCCACACTTCTGCCCAAGAAATGAGAGAGAAAACAAAAAAGTAGTGAGGGTGACAATCCCATTCTTAGATCATTCTTCTTGGGTTGGGAAAGAAGGAATTCTTAGGAGTTAGAACATTTCTTTGGGCACTTTCCCGGTAGTGAATAATAGGGATATTTTTCTTGGCATTTTAAGTCGAAGTGTAGAAATAGACTTGAAGCTGCTGAATCTTGGGTGGCATCAAAAGCTTTAACCACGCAGCTGAATGTGGTTGTGCTATGCATAGCAGATCCTTCAATAATAATGGGAGTTTTTCCTGGTAAACCATGAGATCAACCCATTTCAGTTCTTGGTACTATTGGTTCTTTGCCTTGACAGATAGATCTTACCTAGAAATTCAGAAAACTGTCCTCATTTATGCTGAATATTTTAGTGGTAAATTTTTGGCATATACCAATAATGTTAATAGCAGTGACTCCGGCACATAGACATAAAAATATACATACATGAAAATATACTAAGATGAATGAACTATTAGCACTTATTAGAATCCATACTCTTTAACCATTTTTCAATAATACTATTGATCCATGGGTAGTCATTACAAATAAAGCAAATTCTTATGGCAAGTGAGGATTTTCTTTCCCCAGACTACTTTTACCCAAACATCTTTTCTTTTCTCCGTTCCTTGTGCTAAAAAGGAGAAAGACACTAAATGTCTCCTAGGATATTTGTCAATGTTTACAATTCCACCATCAGTAGCATATTTTGATTTAATGTGAAAACTCTTAGTAATAAATTATATAAATTAGGAATAAACTTAAGCTTTCATGGCATCATTTTAGCATTTTATATTGATGGGGAAGAATACAGAGATCACAAAAACACTAAGTAAGTCCACACAGTGGCCTTGGAGGTAGATAAAGCTGCAACAGGCAATCTGCATCATGAAGGAAAGCTGCCTACTGGACAATTCTGGGCAGCTTCGACACCAAGACTTTGCTTCTCACTTTTCACTGTGGCTACTAAAAGATATAGAAGTGTTGTATAATCACAGAAAGCACTTGGGATAACACCCAGTACTATCAAACTCTGTGGAAACTTTTATTAATTTGAGCTGCATTTAACTATAACATTAATTAGAGTCTAATTGCTATAACATCCATTAACACAATCTATTTCACGAGCAGGTTTTGGAGTTAGACACACTAGACTTCTTATAGCACCTTATCCACCTGTTGATTGTATGAATTTAAACTCTCAGTGTCTTATTTTTGGTCAAAATTGATTTAAGTATACCTGTCTGAAAGTGTTGCATATTAAATAAGATAATATATTATTTAGCATTTAGCACAGTGCAGATTATTTAAAGAATACAGATAGCAATGATGGTCGTAATGATGATGATAGAAATTATATTTTCTATTAGACAGATGATAATGAAAATTTTAACCTCATTCAATCGCGGTATTGGCATTAAAATAAAATCTCAGTCGTGGCATGTGCGATGACATGGTAATAAAATTATAAACACTAATAGCTTTTAACTTGATAAATCTAAATATACACATATTCCATGTGCCAAGCTGTCCCTAGCATTGTGAGGCTATGAATACACACTTTGGCTTCTTTTCAGTTTAAGCAGTCAAAGGCCATCTATTTCTTCCGCAGCCTGAGAGTCCCTTCAGTTTCACTTCGGATACTCTTCTAACTTGTGCTTCAATTCTGACCTCTACGAATTCCATAAACCAACTCACAGTGAGCGATTCTTTGCCCTGAGTTCATAAACCGAAACACCCGCATTCTTTTGAGCATTTACCACATTATGTTATGCCCCTTGTGTAATGTGACTCCTTGTGTCAACGATACACACAGCACATCATATATGGTTGGTCCTTTCACCCCTTACTAACTATGTTCACACACATGCCCTACCTCTTTCTACTGAACATATCTCACAGGTTTCCAGTGTACTTATCAATGCTTAATACGACTTCTGCATCATAATCATCCCATTTGTTTGCTTGTCTTTTGTTGATGAATCAACCATTTTTAAACAATACAGTAAAAAATACAGGTTATGTGTTTCATCATTCAGTATCAACCACCAATTTGAAATACTCTTTCTTCTTAAAAGAGACCTAAAAATTTTACATTCTTGACCACTTACCCTTTGAACCTAGACCAGATATTGAGAATTTCAAGTTAAAGGGATAAACAATCTTTTCTTTTTATTCATAAAGTGATTGAAACAAGTTAGGTCAAAAGGCATAGGGGCTGGGGATTTAGCTCAGTGGCACCGCACCTTCCTCAAAAATGCAAGGTCCTGAGTTCAATCCTCAGTACTGTAAAACAACAACAAAAACCTGACAAAAGGCATCTTTTGTTTAGGCAACTTAGTCTCTTCCAGCTTCACCTTCCTCGATGACAAATGTAGGCTATTTTATTGGATATATGTGAATGCTGCCTCTTCAACCTCAGGGGGCCCTGAGAGAAAAGTGACATGTTTGAATTCTGATTGTTTGGAAGATTGTACAGAGTGAGCATTTCTCAGATCTAGGGAGATCTGGCAGGGGATGTGTGTCTTAGCACTTAAAACCTCACCCTGTACCACAAGAGGAATCACTGTGGCCAAGGAGCATTCCCAGCTTTCAGGACAATAGGTCTAGCTGTGCCTTTCCATGCCCATTAGTAACTATCTGTCCTGCAGTGCAGAATGCTCAACTATCCTGACTTCCCCAAGGTTCTCCTTGTGTTAGCGGCAAAACTCTCACGATCTAAGAAATCACTGAATCCTGAACAAACTAGTCTGGTTATTTACTCTATTTCTTAGCCTTTTTGATGCATCACTTTCCTTGAATATAGAAGAGGAGATACGGAATTTATCTCAACATTCTTCCAGCATCTGAGGGAGATAATGTGAGTAGAATGCTTAACAACAATGCATTCACAATGAAGACCATTGTTATCCTGACTCTAAACCACCAATCTAGTTTTCGGTTTTGTTATCTCCACATAACTTTATTTTATTTTATTTTTTTTCTACTTTTTTTTTCTTTTTTATTGAGGATATTGGTACAATCTAGGTATACAAATACAGTTACATTCATCATTGGGATTCTGTACCTTTACATAATAGGTCTTGATTCTCATTTTTCCCCTTGTCCCTGCCCTCCCTTCACCCCCTCCTCCCCTCCCTTCACCCCCTCTTCCCCTCCCCATTTACAAACACTTTATTTATATTTTTTCAGTTTCTCATATTTTTTCCCTCTCCCTTATTACCTTTCCCCCACCCTTTCCACTTTCCTTACACCTTTAGCCCTTTACTTCCTATTTCACATTATTAATTGTCTCATTAGGATCCTGTGTACTATTATAGTTTTTCACACCAAAGAAACTATTCGGTATTTCAGTTAAAGAAATCTCTGGATGAACATTAAAAATAGGGAATCCTAAAATAAAACTAAAAAGGAAAGTAAAAGAGAAAAGGCAATGATGTAA